GGTGGGTACACTCATACAACAGAATACTGCACAACATTAAAGAATAATGAGTTTACTAAATACTTCATCCAATAGGTGAACGCACAAGATAGTATTCTAAGGGAAATCACTTAATCGACAAACCAAATAGTATGAGCCCATAGTGTAAAAAGTCAAGGAAAAGTTTACCAAAAGTCAAGAAAGCATCATTGTTTGAAGGTCACCGTGGGAGGGAGAATAGCCTCCAAATGAGACCAGAGCCACAGGCGTAGAGTCCAGAATTGTCATACATCACAGAAGGGGTCATGGTCAGAGGGCCATGTTAGCTACGTCTCCGACTTCACTGACTCATATTCATTTCAACTTTATAATGGACAGCTGATCTCCTCCAATTTTGTGAAGCTAATGATTTGAGCTTTAAACATCTTTTCAGTTTGTAATAAAATTCTATTGGTTAATTAGTTTCATTGAATCAATTAAAGGCAAAGGAATTAACATTATACTCAGGAACTATACACTTGTGATATTACTTATAATCAAGCCTCCTCTTCTTAGAGTTATGCTGCTGGAGAGAAGAAAACCCCTTCTGCCCAAGGCAATGCCACCTTTTCCCACTTCACCACCTGCGAAGAAATGGCACTGGTGAGCACCAGACCTCTAAGGGCATGATAGGTGCAGGCTTGGAGCCATTGATCAAGCCTCCCTCTCCAGAGCTGCCATGGCGCCTGCCCAGCACCTTAACATGACTGCAACCAGGCAGACACCATCCCTATGTCACCTGTGGTTTGTTACATAGAACACACTTCACAAGTGAAACCTGGAACCATCCATTGCCTTTAGCTCTCCCTGAGAGCCTTGTCTCTCACCTCAGCTTAGAATGGGCATCAATAATAATAATCAGCAAGGCTGGGCCTGTCTCAGCATCCAGAATTTGTAATGAGCGCCAAGGGATCTGGGGAATGGGGCTAAAATGAATGTCATTTGAACAGCAGCCATCAGAGTTGCAAAGCTTTGTGCTGTCATTGCTTACCACAATGAAATGGTTAAGTGGACCTAAGATTA